ACTGTGCCGGCATTAATTCTGTTAAAATTTACCATCACCTACCACACACTTACCATCACCTACCACACACTCACCTACTACACTCACCTACACTTACCTACTCCTCACCTACCACCACCTACTCCACTACACCTACATCTATATAAGGAACCATTTGTAATAGACAGAATAACAACATTCATCAATCAATAATACAATCATTTCTCTTTATACATTAAATTTCTACATGGTATCAGAGCAAGGTTGAGCCTAGCATTTTCGCTTCACCAGCGGGCGGCAGCCTTGCCTTGGCCGCCCGCCGAACCTCAACCCATTCCACTGCCATATTTTCTTTCAGTATCACTTCATGGTAATCTCTTCCCCTATCCACTAATTTATTCATATCCCAAATATCTCTATCATATTTCTTTTTTTTAATTCACAATCCATTTTTGTGTGTGTTTCTGTTCCACTTTGTCTTTCCCTCTATTTCAACATCAAATAGGTTTCTATCTTCAAACTTATTTGAGTTTGAGGGGGGTATTATACCTATATCATGGTGAGCATGGTGATATACCATGTGAATCACCTAGGTCGCCCTATCTGGCGCACAGCCCAAGTCGCCTCATCTGGCGCACAACCCAAGTCGTCCCCTCTGGTACACAACCCAAATCGCCCCCTTGGTGCACCACCCAAGTCGCCCACTTGGTGCACCACCTGTGCCACGCTTACTGGTTCAACATCCAATTCTCTATATCGGTCTGGCATGACCCCTTTAAACTGTCTCAACATTGATACCGGTTAGTCTCTACAATGGTTCGACATGACCCATTAAACTATCCCGACATTGATTCCGATTAGATCCTACAAAGACATGACCCTTTAAACTGTCCCAACATTGATTTCAATTAGTTCTTATAACGGTTCGGCATGACCCTATAAACTATGCCGGCATTAATTCCGATCAATTCCTACAACAGTCCAACATGACCTTAAACTGTCCTAACATTAGTTCCGACCAGTTTCTACAACGGTCTAGCATGACCATAAACTATCTCCCGGCATTAGCTCTGGCCTCTAATGCCGACTAGGGTCTTGTTGGCTGCCGACCAAGGTGTTTCCTAACCATAGATGCTTCAGTAACTCTTCTAGGACAGTTCAGTTTCTGTTTTTTTTTCCCTTTCTATGGTGGTGTTAATGTATTAAGCACTTTTTTGGCCTTTTTTATTTAGTAGACTACTAGATTTGCTCAGTAGCATTTATTTGGACTAACCGTTGGGTTTTTTCCGACTTCTTCTAGTCATCCATTGGCATGCTACGATTGTTGAATATCTTTACACTAGCTTGAAGGAGAGTGTTGAATATAAAAATTAGAATATATAGAATCTTTTTATTTTTAGTATTATGTATATAATTTGTAATTGTGTCAATCACTGATTTAGTATTATTTCCTTATTTATATCGTTTTCTAAATTGTATCATGAATTTATTATATATACATGACATCTATCTCATTCATGAGTAAGCCAAATAATTCTTTTCATTCTTTTGTAATCTAATAGCCTCAGAAGAACCATGGACAGTTTGAAGAGAAGCTGAAGGCAAATAAATGGCTTATTTAAGGCCAATGTAGTAGCCATCAAAAACCACCATAAGTTCATAGAACACTCAAAAGTGCATTGCATGCAAACAATATGTCAGAATCAAGGTAAAGGCCGTGACAATAATACCTAAAAAGATGGGGGGAAGCTTCAGATGGTAATGCATGGGAAGGTTGTCAAATTGAAGAGAATCATCTCCACAATAAAAAGAATACTTCCTAAATGGGTAAGAGATAAGTTTGTCAATAAAAGGAAATGTGAAGTTTTTGTGTAGCCTTATGAGAAAGATAGTAGATGATAAGAATTATTGCTATAAACAACAATGGGACCCTTAGAATACCTTCAAAGATGTGGAAGGTGATATTCACCCATTTAAGCGAGTCCAACAAGAGAAATTCATCATACTCTTAGATGCGTTCAATTAACAAAAACCTCCATCCAAAGAGTATCTCATGCCATTCAAGGTGAACATCAACACTCTGCCAAAATGGGACGTGAAACTAGAGAGGGAAAAAAAGAAAAAGAAAAAGAAAAAGAGTGCTTCCATAGTTTCCATTAAATAAAGCTACTGGTTGGGAAGATTATTGAGTCTTGACTACTTTTCCTCCAAAAAGAATAAAACATGGAAGTTCCTCTTGGATCTCATACAAAAGGCGTGCACCATTTCAATGTAGCAAACCCCAAGTTAGCACCTCAAAATATCAGGCGATGGACAAACATTAGATTCGACAAAGTTCACCCTTTTCAACTAATGCACATTCTTCAAACCAATGGAAGATACTTGACAGTAAGAAAAAACATTGGCTATATCACTTCAAACTTCAAACCATTTATCAATATTATCCAAATCAATTAAATATTCAAGAATTACTAAGATTGATTAGTTCACGACTAATATAGGAAACCAAATCTTCTAGACCGCTCCATTTTAAGTGAAGCAGAGGTGTTTGCATGACATAATACTGTGAATCCACTTTTTCTGCAAACAGTTCACAACAAATAAAAAGGTTTTGCTTGAATTCATTAATTAGCCTCACTGTTCAGCCAGCAAGATACATATTAACCTAGGTTTCACGTAAGTATGGTATGATCACTTTAAAGATATCATGCCAAAAGATGGAAGATGTGAAAAGCACCCGGTGTTATGATTAACAATCCAACAAAAATATCAATCAGATTGATGTGATGTTAAAGGAAACAACTGCCGTCTCCTTTTATCAGTCAACAAATGAACATAACATGCAGATTGTATTGTTTTACTACATCTGTATTCCTCAGGGGGTCACTTCTAAAGCATAAGTTCCACTAAATAGTCAAATTAGTAGCAATATGGATAACTTACATCTCCTCAAATTCAGAACCTGCTCTGTAAAAGAAAGGTACCCCAGCTTCTCCAGCAATAGCCTTCAAAGTTCCAGATGCATTTCACCAGAGTCAGAAAGTGTATAAAGGTACTGAGCTTAAACCTCCATTCAATATAATCAGTAGAAAATTAAAGTAATGGTAGGAGAAAAGGAAAGGTACTACTAGGGAAAAAGAGATGTCTCTTTCCTCCTGTTTGATTGAGCAGAAGGAAAGGAGGAAGGATTGTAGGGTACTATGTTTTTACCATTATAATACCACAACATATTAAAACAACCGTTACATTTAAAGGGAATTTTTTTTAAAGACAAGCTTGCTCTTAATCTTTCTACCTAAGAGACATGGGAAAATCCCTTTCCTTCCCTTTTCCTACCTCCCACTCAACCCTTGTACCAAATGGACTGTACAAAACAAAGAGAGATAAATTTAGAAAAGTGAATTTTGCAGAATGTTGGAACCACCACCACCAGGAAGTTATATTTCCAACTACACACTTCAAAAGTCAAATATCTATCCCTAATGATTCATGCATGGCCTTGCACCCATTGATTACAAAAAGAAGGGGAAAAAAAAAAAAACGAAGAAGAAGAAGAAGAAGAAGAAGAAGAAGAAGAAGAATGTTTGCATGCCTAAGAATTAAAGAAAATTATCCAAAATATGTCCCAACAAATACAAATGTGCTGTCATTTAGTATGTGTACTTAGAAAAGTAAGGTTCAGCTCTAGAGCAAACATGAAAATTAAACGGGCCACCAATTTGTATTCAAATCACACTCACTATGCAAGGGTTTAAGAAACCATTAAAACCTAGAGCATTTAGATTTCAAAATTCCTTAGCATTTCTGATCCTTTAACAAGCTAGAACTGAACTTTCTGATGACCAAACCTCAAAAAACTGAATAGCATGCAACAATTATACAGAACTCATGGAATTACTGTGTCAAACAGCTTCATTACATGCAAGCAGGTGAGGTGGATCAAAGTCAGAATTAAAAGAGAAAGAAACACAGGTATTAACTCTGAACCCTAGCAGCTTATCAATTGGTCAGGCACTTAATGCAAAAACTAAAAGACAATAAGTCCATGAAACATTCGTAAAAAAATGTAACACCTTACCTTAGCAAGGAGAGTTTTGCCTGTTCCAGGTGCTCCAGTCAAAAGAATTCCCTGTAAATTTGTGTATTATATTTAGTAAAACCAGAAGACAAGAACAAACTAAGCTATTTAGAAAAGTAAAATGGGTATCCTTCAACAGCATGTGATCCCAGATGTATTAAGAAAACAAAGCCATGACAATTAGGCACTACAAACAGAGAAATCCAAATTTAATAAATGTATTCTAGAATTTGAACAAGGTAACTGTGTTATGTATGGATATCACAAGTATGAAAACATCTTGCCAACCAAAGAATTGTGAGATGTCAGATATGTACTTTTGGAATAATTTGATTCACCAAGTACACAGACTTACATACACGTCAAGAACTACTTACAATAATTGATCAAACACCAAGGACTCCAACAGGAAAGGATAACATTTTAAAGAGATTATATGCATAAGAGGACCAGTTGATGCAAGTAAATATATTTTCAAATGACTAAATACCATAACATACCTTAGGCAACTTCCCCCCAAGTCGTGTAAACTTTGTTGGGTTTTTGAGGTACTCCACCACCTCCTCAAGCTCTTGTTTAGCATCATCACAGCCTTTGACATCCTTAAATGTTTTAACATTCTGCAGCAAAACCAATTCATCAGGACAAATGACAAAAACTATGACTATTTATTAAAAAGTGGTCTGTTGAAATTTTCAACCCAAAAATGATCCTTTATGTATATACATATGTCGATAAACAAAAACTTCAAATGAATGCATCAAAATGAGTGCATAATATTAAGTAAAAATAGTACAAAAGAAACTCCATAGCAATGTCTGTAAATGGGTACATAAGATTAACAGTCCCAATAGGACGTCATCCTAGAAAAAAAATTGTTAGATGCCAACGGTCATCACCAGACAGGTAAGTTTAAAGAGCCAAGATGGACTATCAGCACCAGGACAAAAAGACCCTATGAAGCTTTGTTGTTCCCTGGGATTGGAACGCATTAGTTGTCAAGTTGGGCAATAAGGGTCTGGGAAGGGCAATCATCCATTCTTAAAACTAGCATTCTTAAGACCAAAGATTCAGACGGAAAAAGGGAGAAAGCCCTCCATTCCTGGTTCCGGAACCATAAGAATCCTTCGTAAGAATGGGATTCCAACTCAACAGCACTTGAGATTTGCTCTTTGAAGAGCACAATATGTTGAAAGTTGCAATCAGTCAGGGCACCTAAGAGGCAGTGGTTTACCCTGCAGCAGATGTCAATGGTTCAAGTCTACTTATCTCCAACTTGTGAACTTAGCCAATACAAAGATAGTTGATAGCACCCAATTTTTTAGATTCGACGGTTTGATCTATAATTTTTCATTCATGGACGCTGATAAGATCTTTCCATTTAGTAGCACCTTAGGATGATAAAGACTTAAAGTTAATGGTGAGGTTCAGACAAGGAAAGACTTACAGCGGATACCTAGGCACCTAGAGACGAGGAAAGGCATAGTAAGAGACGATATACTGTTGGCATTGTTTAATCTCCTGACAGCAGTATTTAAGGAAAGCAGAATCGTATGGCACAAGATTATAGTTCCCTTTTGCCAACTACTTGTTTATTCAGTTTTACATTGTAGTCAAACTTTACAGTTCCTAATTCCTAAAAAACAGAAAATCCAAAATAAACCTAAACCAGTAAATCTCCTTCAACCTGGAATAGATAACAATATAATGAGGATGATTGACATCTTGTGACAGCAGTCCTCAAAGGTTGGTAGAATTGTAAACACACAAGCATAAGCACAAACCTACCTTCTCAGGCATAATCTCTTTATTCAGCTCCTTCGGGGCATAGGAAGAACTTGAGCCCACACCTGAAGTTCCTATCCCACCCAAGCTACCAATATACTTCTGAAGTGCAGCAGCACCCATTACCCTGAAAGCAGTGTCAATATTTCAAAATAATAGCTAAAGGACACAAGCAACCAGATATCATCTCAAACACTGAATTTACTGTAAGCAAAAAGATACTAGAACATAGATGTGACCTTTGAAGCACAGATATAGGATACGAGATACAGATACAATATGATATAGATAAGGAGATACAAGAAAACCTATAAAATGTATATGTATATACATATAAAAAATACACACATAGTGTTTAAAATGAAATAATATCAATGTAACTAAATTGTATTTATGTATATATATAACCATGTATATTAATATAACTTAATCTCTTCTTTTCTTGTTTTGGCTAAAATGAAGCCGTTCATGCATTATGCAAACAAAACTAAATTGCAGTAAATCATAGTAAATTACAATTGAATTGTACAATTCACGATTCAACAACACGAATTGAATCGTGAATCGCAAGATTCTAATAACCATGGCCAAGACAAGTTCGTAAATAATTTTTAGTGTTGTATTATACATAAGCTCATTTTGGAATAAAGTATTAGTTTAAGAGCTAGTAACTAGTTTACTATTTTATTTTCAAAGGTCCTATAAAAACTTCATAAAAATATTGATTCTAAGCTATTGAAATTGCTCCTAACATGTTGTACATAATTTTACTTGCTTGTTTAATTGTTGAAATCTGATTTCAGTATCGTTGCGTGTTCTTATTTATCCTAGCTTTCTACAAAGTATGGATATGGCTATGGGACATAACATATGGCATACCAGTTTTCTTCTATTTAACCTAACAATTATACTTAATGTTATGTAAAAATTATTACAATCTCAATTTCATAAAAGTTCATATAAGTGACACAGAGTGTATCTGAAAGTATCCAGTACTTCTCATAATTAAAGAAAGTTATGGATATATTTAGAAAGTATTTGATACATATCCACGAGTATCCGAGGAGTATCGGTATACAATACGAATATGATATGGATACAATGTCGCTCTAGAAGTATCTGTGCTACATAGAATGTGACACATAATAAAGAAACAAAAGAAGTTTGAATTTAAATTTATGGTACTCATCAACTATTTTGGATAAAAATAAAAATAAAAATAAAAACTCATACCACACTAAACCAACAGCAACAGTGAACAAGATTGTTGAGACGAGCTCTTGAGCAAAGCGTGATGATCTATTTGACACTTTAGGGTCAACCTAATAGAGAAAACAACATATGCTATGATTCAAAAACACACACATGAACAAAAAAAAAAAACTCCCCACTAAATAAAATGGTGAGACATGAAACAGATAAGGATTATCAATCTTCAATCATACAACCAAAGATAACATCATGACGCATTAGTATAGGATGTAAATCTTCCTACTAGAAAGATAACAAAGACTATATTATATAACTCCTTACCATCACCACGTGCAATGGCTGCTTCTCAGATACACCAGGACTCAGAAATGGTTCATCCATGTTCCCTGATGCACGCTGCTTCAACTCTTGCAACTATATGTCGGTTTTATAATTAGTAATAAAACTATTATATCAAAATTAAACTTTATAGCCAAACAAGCACATTGACAATTATTCCAATTTTACTTCTACAAGAAAACTGCTAACAAATATGAAAACATTGGTACGGATGAGTAAGAAGAACCAATATTCCAAACTATGGACTATTAGAGGCACAAACATGCAATAGTATAAAAAAAGCTTGATGGGATAGATTAGACAAGTAAAAAGAGTTTCTCAACTTTTTAATTTCACTCCCAACCCTTCCATAGGAACAAAAATCATTCCATCCCAGTAAATGATAATGAAGCATGGCTAATTACCAACGTAGGAAGACTAGAAGGCTTGCCAGATTGCTCATCTGGAAGATATTCAGCAATAGCATTAGTGGCCACAAGAGCCCGAATATATTCTGCAACCCCTCTGCTATCTACTGCATGATCCCTTTGCTCAAATCGCCGGATGACAGCATCAGGACTAGAAAACAGAAAAATAAAATAAAAAATAACTACGACGTATTTTGTATTACATACCAGATATCACTACAATATGTCAGAAAACAGTATGAATGCTGCAACTTACTAGAATATTTACACTTTCACAGACTGCCGCTATGGTCAACAGTTTTTTACTTTCAATAAGGAAATCCAGCACAAGGGCCTTAGTAGTTGTAAGTTGTAACCCAAACATCAAACAATTATTACACAACCAGCTAAATCTCAATGGTAATTACATATAAAGAATCTTTGGTTTTGGGTACTGGAAAATTGTGTCCTTGTGAATAAGGCAGGTCCAAGAAGCAATCATTTAGTTGGTTGCCACTGAGCTTAGTGGGCAAATTCTTGGGTAGAAAATGGGTTCTTGTATAAAATCCGGATAGACAGGAATGCATGTTTAAGAATGTAAATCATGACAAGTTCTGTAATTTATGATTTCGTTAATGGACTCATAGAATTAACAGGGGATAGAATACACAGTGCCCGCTTGAGCTCATTGCTACAATCTGGGCAGTCTCAGTCTTTGGTGGAAACTCGGATTTTAAGTTTTGATTAGGAATTGAGTTGTTCACTGGGTATAACCTTGGCGCTGGATGGCTGTTGTGTTATCACTGGAGTAAGGACAAATTGCTTCTAACATATAATTCTTAGGCTATGCCCCCAGGGTCAACTCAACAGTGTCCTCCATAGCTATGTGCCCATCATGAGTATAACTTTTCATCTATGATACCAACGAGCGAGAGCGAGCTGTAACTTCAACTTAATTCATCTATATTTTTCATTTTTTATTTTCCAAACTTATTCTAAGTTATATCTTACTCTATGTAAAATCATAATTAAGTTTCTGCATAGTTTAGTCAGTTCAACAATATTCCAATATCAATAAATTATACCAAGAAGCTAGCAAAATGAGAAAAGACTAAAATGTAGCGTATTTTTCAAAACAAAAAATCCAAAAAGTATAACTAAATTGACATGACAGCATTGAAGAGTCTGACCTATGCTTATTGAGTTCGGCCAACAAAGCACTCTGCTTTGCTGCGTCCATTGGGTTTGCATCTGCATCAGCAATCAACATTTCCAACCGCTTCCCTTGGCGCCAAAAAGGCCACCAATTGAACCAATCCGACAACAAGACCTTCTCTAATCCCAGCCTTGCACTCCCCAACAAACCCACAAAAAATACCACCACTGGCAGCCTACTCTTCTCATCTCCTTTCCCCAATGAACTCTCCGATCCCGTCTCACTTTCAACCTCAGAAACTGCCACTTCCGATTCAATTCTCGCATCCTCGCCTGCAAAATCATTGCGAATGAAGTTGTTATCGGAAAAAGTGGAATCGGAGGTTGAATTGAGATTGTCAGGATGCAATGTAGAATTGGAAACAAGGCGGTGGCGGCGCAATCGAGAAGTTGAATGGAGTGAAGAGAGAGAAATAGAGCGGCGGTGAGTAGTAGAGAGAGGAAGTTGAAGGTGCTTAGAGGAGGAATATAGGTGAGAGAGTGAAGGTTTGCAGAGGAGAGAAGCTTGAAGAGCAGTCATGGCTTTAGTTAGGGTTTATTAAGGATTCTTTCAATACACTCTCTCTCCTCTCTCTTTCTCTGGAGCAGTATCGCAGCAAGATAAAGAGAGTGGCAGGTTTGAGAGTATGAACCACACGATTGCGAGTGTCTCGGTGAAAGAGAGTACTGTAGAGAAGAGAAGATTAGGAAGAAGAAACCTTATCTATCTTGATTGAAATTGGCGCTTTGGTGTGGGCGTGTGTGACCTATATGTTCGGTTTGAGTCGCTCATCACAAGGAGCAAGCATCCTCTAGAGTGATTTTTTCTTAAAATTTTTTAGGGTGTTATATTGTGTGGTTGAGATTTACTGGCAAGTCACATCAATTTTTCTGATGTGACTTATCAATAAATCCCAATCACACAATGTAGTACTCTAAGAAACTTTAGAAAAATTCCACTCTAGAGGATCCTTGGTGCATCACAAGTTCAATAGTCAATATGACAAAAATAAAAAATAAAAAAATATGACAAAAATAAAAAAGGCGGTTTGTTCAAGTTAGGTTCACTTTTTAATTTAGTGATATATTATGAAAATAATTTTTAAATTGAGTGATATGTTAAAAAAAATAGTTAATAATTAAATTTAATTATCAATTAATTATCTTATTGACATATTGGGCCATTTTAGAAAGTGAGATATAATCCGCTTCCCAAATTATAACACACTTTCTCTCTCACAAAAAAGCTGCTTAAGCAGCTTTTTTCTAACTAACTGATTATAATCAACTTTTCAAAATAGCCCATTATTTGATCTAAAAAATGAGTGTAAAAAATAGACTTTTATATTATTCTTCATAAAAATATAAAATAATAAATCTTACAATTATATCAATTTTCTTTCTTAATAAAGTTGAATGGACCAAAAGTAACGTTAGACTGTGTTTGTTTGGACGGACGGGAAAAGGGAGGATTGGAATCCATCGAATTATAATTTTGGGATTTATAGTCTTGGGATTATTTGGTTTGATAGGATACGTATCCCATATTTGTTTGGTCATGAGATTAGAAATCAGGAAATGACTATTTGGTTAGTTAATATACGAATCCTATGTTTGTTTAGAATATTATGGATAATGATAAATATTCAAATAACTATTTTACCCTTTTCAATTATTAACTAAGTAATAACAATATTAAACATATCTTCAATATTTTAATTATTTTTAGCTACATTAAATATATTTTATTTTATTTTATTTTTTACATAATTAAATAAATTTATTTTAAAAAATAAATAAATAAAATATCAATAAAAATATATGTTATTTTTTAATTAAAATTTTAAATAAATTTATTTTTAAAAATAATAATAAACATCAATGAAATATCTATAAAAAATTAAATAAATAAAACATCAATAAAAATTAAATAAAATTATTTTATTTTTAAATTGAGACATTTAAATTTTATTGAATCTTACTAAATATAATATATAATTAAATAGTAGAGGATCAAAATGACCATTTCAAAAAAAAATTTAAAAAATGTCAAAAAGTGAATAACAACAATATAAAAAAGTTTTAAAAAAAATGAGTGAAGTGCCAATAAATTTTAAAATGTGATATTATGAACTGTTTAGTCCTTCATTTTTTCTTATGAATTCAAAGGTCAAATTAAAATGAAAATTACACAAAATGGTAGTCACTTACATATTTGGATTTAATTTTTTCGTGGATAAAAGTAGATTTTCTCTAAACGTAAAATTACACACTTGGATAATCCACACTATAGAAGTTTTGGATTTTTCCTCCTTTTAGAACAAATTCCACATTACAAACAAAAAGTAACATTCTCATGTAACACTCAAATAACGTAACACTCCAACGTATCACGTTAAAAAACTCATTGGTGTACTTTCTCTAAATATAACAACGTAACACTCAAAAAGAACTCTTTAGTGTATTTTTCTCAAACGTAACATTCTAATGTAATACAAAGAAAAAAAAAAAAAAAAAAAAACTCCTAAAAAAACTCCTTATTGTACTTTTCCCAAATATAACACTCCAATCAATATAATCTCAAACCTAACACTCCAATCAATGGAGGTGTTTGGCAAGAAAAAAAATAGCCTAGTTTAGGCTAAAATTCATAAAAAGACAAAATAGGCTAAAATAACTAATAAGACAAAATATCACATCAAACCCATAATCATTTCACTTTTTCTCTCACAAACATCACATTCAACCACAAAAAAATTCAATCATCTTCCCAAACACAAAAATTTTAGCCTACTAAAATAATCAAAAACTAAAATAGCCTATTAAAATATCAACTTTCCAAATGAAGCCAATATAATCTCAAACATAACACTCCAATGTAACACACACAAAAACACTAAAAACTCTTTAGTGTACTTTTTTCGAACGTAATACTCATAGTTTAAAATTATACATTTGTTCAAAATTTATTAAGAAATTTTTATACTCCTTTTAGAATGATTTGAAGAATCCATTATTCTTCTGAAATGGTTTGAAGAATCTCACATTTTTTTTAAAGGTTTTACGTTAGAGTATTATGTTTGGGGAAAAAAAGTTATGTGTTATATTAGAATGTTACGTTTGGAAAAAAATACACTAAGGAGTTTTTTTAGAGTGTTACGTATGAAAAAAGTACACTAAGAAATTTTATTGGGTGTTACATTAGAGTGTTAAACTAAGAAATTTTTTTGGAGTATTATATCGGAGTGTTTTGTTTGGGAAAAATACGCTAAAGATTTTTTTTTGGAGTGTTACATTGAAGTGTTACGTTTGAGTGTTACATTAGAGTGTTACAATTTGAAATTATACATTTGTTCAAAATTTACTAAGGAATTTTTATACTCCTTTTGAAATGTTTGAAAAATCCCACATCATTTTAGAATGTTTGAAGAATATCATATTTTAAATCATTTTTGTACTCATTTTGAAATATTTTCCAATAAAAAAGATTCTTATACAAAAATTCATCCCAAATTGATTCTTATAGATTATGTACTTTACCTTTTTAGCATAAAAGAAAAAAAAGAAAAACATAATAGAAATAAAGGTATAATTGTAAATCTAATTTTCAAATAATATATTAAATTTACCTTTAAAAAATCAATGAGAGTAATTGATTTAAAAAACATCCTTGAAATTAAATCAATCATCATTTCTCAAAATAGGATTTATAGATAAATTTTTCAAAAAAAAATTTCCTCTTTATTTTTGTATGTGTTTTTCATAAAAAAAATTTAAAAATTGTTCTAAACATACTAATCATCTTATTTGGTTTTGATTGATTTTCTAAAAATTGATTTTTTTTATTAACTTTTTAGTGAATGTTTTTAATATTTAAAGTAAATTTTTTATTTCCTAGATGCACATAACTTAAATATACTTAAAAAGTAAATATTTGTGAAAAATTATTTTTAAAATTCAATAAATGCACAAGAATACGAAAATATACTGAACTTTTATATTCTTTTGTATTTGATGAATTATTTTAAAAAATTTCATAAAGATTATGCATTTTAAATATATTTAGGTTAGGTGCATCTAAAAATAAAAATAAAAAAATCTTAAAATATTGAAATTTTTTACTAAAAGCAAAAAAAAAACTATGAAAAATAAAAAAGCAAATTTTTTGAAAAGTGGGCTCAAGTTTCTGATACCAAACACGGTCACCTTATATTTAGCTAAAAAAATTTATAAAAAAAAATTATTAAAATAGTCTATTACCAAACCAACTCTAAGTAAGAAAAAAATATATTTTACTATAAAAGTGATAAAATATATTTTAGGGTAATTAAAAAAAATCCTAGAGTTTGAGGCTTGTAACAAAATAAATCATGATTTTTTAATTTTATCAATATAAATCTTAATCTTTTGATTTATTTTCAATCTAAATCATTTCCCTATTTTTGTTAAGTAAAATTGTAGGAAAAATTGTATTTTAGTCATTAAACTCAGTATAAGTATACATAAAATATCTAAAATAACATTTTTCATGAGTTTAATGACTAATATCCATTTTTCTATCGATTTTACGCAACAAAAATAAGCAAATTGTTTATATTAAAAACAAATCCAAAGCATAAAGTTTAAATTGACAAAATCAAAAATTTAGAATTTATTTTGTTACATGGCTCAAATCTTGGGATTTTGTTTTGTAATTTTAATTTATATAACTAATGAATTATTAATGAACATGGATGGTGTTACGTGAATTAAAATTTTTAAAAAATCCAATGTAATTATGTTAAAATTGTAAAATTTGTTATATTTTCTCCAAATCTTGTTAGAAGTTAGTGTAATTTGTCCCCAAAAAATAAAAAATAAAAAAAATAATATTCGAACTAGAGTTTATTTTCTCAAAATCTTACATATTTGTCTATTTGTTCAAATATCCCATATTTGCACATGTGTCACCTATTTATCTATCTCACTGCCACTAGCTGCTGCCAACTTTTCAGTGACTTTTTAATACATATCCTTATCACCAAATAAAATTAAATCTTGAACTAAATAACATTTGGCTCAATAAGAATTCTTTTCACAAACTAACCCCCCTCCCTTACCCCAAAAAAGAGTTAATTTCACTTTTATCCCCTTAAATTGTTCTCATTTTTTCTACTTCATTCTTAACTATCAATTTCGTCTAAAAATTTCTAATTGATATTCACGTGATCTAATTAAAAATGATTATACAAATAAAAAACTGTTAAAACCTAGTTTAATGAAAAAATAAAACACTCATTTTTAAGTACAAATTACACTTTTAACTCTTATAGTTTGACAAACTGTTAAAACCTAGTTTAATAAAAAAATAAAACACTCATTTTTAATACAAATTACACTTTTAACTCTTATAGTTTGACTTAAATTTCAATTTGATCCTCATTATTTCAAACTAAACAATTTGATCTCCGCACTTTACGTCTAATTCCAATTTGGTTCTTCCATTCAAATTTAAAGCTAAAATTAATGGTTTGGAACACTTGTCAATCTCCTGAATAACAATTAATGAAAATTTAAATGGAATAACCAAATTGAAACATAACGTAAAGTTTAGGGACCAAATTGTTTAAATTGAAACAATAGAGGCTAAGTTAGAATTTAGATCAAACTATACGGGTAAAGAGTATATTTTCCATTTTTTAAAAAAAATTATTTTGAATAAACTGCACCCCACAAATGATTTAATGGCTACTTGTTTGTATGATTTAAGCTATCCAAAGTATAAAATTAT